CATATGCTCGCTCCTCAGAGGTGGCTTCCCTGACTACCCACTTTAATGTTGCCCCCACCCTGTGTCTGACCTTCCTAGGGCCGTCATGACAAAATACCACAAAGCGGGTGGCTTTAAAGAACAGAAAGTTCTAGAGGCTCAAAATCCAAATCAGGGTATCGGCTGTGTGGACTCCTTCTGACAGCTTTGAAAGGAATACCTTCCCATGCCTCTCTCCCAGCTCCTGGTTTCTGCCATCAATCCTTGACATTCCTTGACTTGTAAACAGATTGTCACCTGCTCTCTTTTCTCTGTGTCTTCCTCTGTTTCTGTGTCTGTTTTTATTTTTTCTAAGACATCTCTCCAAAGGGATTAGGATTACGACCCATCCCACTCTGGTATGACTTCATTAACATAACTGAAAACATGTGAAGAGGAAGACCATGTTTTCTCCAAACAAGGTCACATTCGTTGGTGCAGGGGTTAGGATATCAATGTATCTTTGTTTGGGGATATACTTCATCCAGAGCACCCGTCATGCAACCCATCACTTTATGATCGTGCTCCTGGAGTCCCTGAGTGGTGAGATGGTTAGGTACCCAACTACTAGCACAAAGGTTGCTAGTTTGAACCTACCCAGGGACACCTAAGGAGACAGGCCATGTAATTTGCTTCTGAAATGTCACAGCCTTGACATTTGGAGCCTAATGGAGCAGTTGTCTGCACATATGGGGTCACCATGAGTCAGAATCAACTCAATAGCAACCAACAACAAAATCTTGTATTTGTTAAAACAGCATTAAATTTCCCTGAGTACAGTCAGTCATACATCTGAAACCAAATCCATTGCCATGAGGATGATTCTGATTCATAGCAACCTTATAGGGAAGAGTCAAACTGCCTCATTGGGTTTCCAAGGTTTCCAACTTGATGAAGGCAGACTACCACATCATTCTCCTGCTGAGCAGCTGGCATTCAAACCACTAACCTTTCAGTTTGTAGCTGAGCACTTAACTACTGTGCCACCAGGGCTCCTTAAATCATACCTGTTGTTGTTGTTAGTGCCATTGAGTTGGCTTCGATTCATAGCGACCCTAAGTACCACAGAACAAAACACTGCCCCGTCCTGAGCCAGCCTCACAACCTCACAATATCTGAGCCCATTGTTGCAGCCACTGTGTCAACCCATCTTGTTGAGGGCCTTCCCCTTTTTCATTGACCCTCCACTTTACCAGGCATAATACCTTCTCCAGGGAATGGTCCCTTCAGACAGCATGACCAAAGGAGGTGAGATGAAGTCTGGACTTTGTCTCTCTCAAGGAGCCCTTTGGCTGTACTTCTTCTAGGACACATTTGTTTGTTCTTCTGGCAGCCCATGGTACTTTGATTATTCTTTGCCAACACTAAAACTCAAAAGCATCAACTCTTCCTCAGTCTTCCTTATTCATTGCCTAGCTTTCACATGAATATGGGGCTATTGAAAATACCATGGCTTGGGTTAGGCATACTTTAATCTTCAAAGAGACATCTTTGCTCTTCATCACTTGAAAGAGGTCTTTTGCAGCAGATTTGCCCAGTGCAATACATTGTCTGATTTCTTGACTGCTGCTTGCATTGGTGTGGATGGTGGATTCAAGGAATATGAAATCTTTTATAACTTCCATCTTTTCTCCATTTATTATGATGCTGCTTATTGGTCCAGTTGTGAGGCTTTTTGTTTTCTTTACATTGAGATGTATTCCATACTACAGGCTGTAGCCTTCAGCCTTCATCAGTAAGTGCTTCAAGTCATCTTCACTTTCAGCAGGCTGTTGATGAGTGTTCCTCCAATCCTGATGCCTCTTTCTTCTTCCTATAGTCCAGCTTCTTGAATTATTTGCTCAGCATACAGATTGAGTAAGTATGGTGAAAGGATGAAAGGATGTAACCTTGATGAACTCCCTTCCTGATTTTAAACTATGCAGTGTCCCCTTGTTATATTTGAATGACAGCCTCCTGATCTATGCACACATTCTCATGAGCACAATTAAGTGTTCTGGAATTCCTGTTCTTCTCAATGTTGTCCATAATTTGTTATGATCCACACAGTCAAATGATTTTGCATAGTCTGTAAAATACAAGTAAGCATCTTTCTAGTATTGCTTGCTTTCAGCCAAGATCCATCTGACATCAGCAATGATAATCCCTTATTCCATGTCCTCTTCTGAATCTAGCTTGCATTTCTGGAGGTTCTCTGTCAATATACTGCTGCAGCCATTTTTTAATTACCTTCAGCAAGATTTTAATTATTATTAATGATATTAATGACATTGGTTGATAATTTCCACATTCTGTTGGATCACCTTTCTTTGGAACAGGTACAAATATTGATCTTTTCCAGTCAGTTGGCCAGGTAGCTGTCTTCCAGATTACTTGGCTTAGGTGAGTAAGTGCCTCCAGTGCGGCATCTGTTTGTTAAAACATCTCAATGGGAGTTCCGCCAATTCCTTGAGCCTTGTTTTTCACCAATTCCTTCAGTGTAGCTTTGACTTCTTCCTTCAATACCATCAGTTCTTGACCATATGCCGCCTCCGGAAATGAATGAACATCAACCAATTCTTTTTGGTACAATGACTCTGTATATTCCTTCTATCTTCTTTTGATGCTTCCTTCCTCATTCAATATTTTGCCCATAGAACCTTTCAGTATTGCAACTCGAAGCTTAAATTTTTTCATCAGTTTTTTCAGCTTGAGAAATGCCAAGCGTGTTCCTCCGTTTTGGTTTTCTAACTCCAGGTCTTTGCATATTTCATTATAATAATTGACTTTGTGTTCTTGAGCTGCTCTTTGAAATCTTCTGTTCAGCTCTTTTATTTTGTCATTTCTTCCATTTGCTTTAGCTACTCTCCATTCAAGGGCAAGTTTCAGAGTCTCTTCTGACATTCATTTTGGTCTTTTCTTCCTTCTCTGTCTTTTTAATGACAATTTGCTGTCTTCATGGATGATGTTCTTGGTGTCATCCCACACAAAATTCATCTGGTTTTCAGTCATTGATCATTGGTGTTCAGTGCCTCAAATCTCTTCTTCAGATGGTCTCTAAATTCAAGTGGGATATAATCAAGGTTGTATTTTGGCTCTTGTGGACTTGTTTTATTGTCTTCAGCTTCAATTTGAACTTACATATGAACAGTTGATGGTCTGTTCCACAATCAAAGCCTGGCCTTGTTTTGGTTGAAGATATTGAGGTTCTCCATTGCCTCTTTCCACAGATGCCGTTGATCTGATTCCTCTGTATTCTATCTGCCAGGTCCACTTGTACAGTTTTTATTTATGTTGTTGAAAAAAGGTATTTGCAATGAATAGGCCATTGGTTTTGAAAAATTCTGTTGTGCAGTCTCTGGCATCATTTCTGTCACCAAGGCCATATTTTCTAACTACTGGTGATTCTTCTTTGTTTTCGACTTTTGCATTCCAATCACCAGTAATCATCAATTCATCTGGATTGTATGCTTGATCAATTTCAGACAGCAGAAGTTGGTAAAAACCTTCAGTTTCTCAGCTTTGGTTTTAGTAGTTGATGTTTAAATTTAAATAATAGTAGGATTAACCATTCTTCTTTGTAGGCATATGTATATTATCTTATCACTGACAGCAATACTTTAGGGTAGATCTTAAAGCATTTTTTGTGATAATGAATGCCACCCCATTCCTCTTCAATTTGTCAATCCTAGCATAGTAGATCACATGGTTGTCTGAATCAAAACAGCGAAAACCAGTCTATTTTAGCTCACTAATGCCTAGCATGTTTACTTATGTTTTATTCACTATGCTAAAGCATTCAATCGTGTGGATTATAACAAATTATTGATAACATTGAGAAGAATGGGAGTTCCAGAACACTTGATTGTACTCATGAGGAACCTGTACATAGATCATAGATCAGGAGGCTGTCATTCAAACAGAACAAGGGGATACAGCATGGTTCGAAATCAAGGAGGGAGTGTGTCAAGGTTACATCCTTTCACCATACTTATTCAGTGTATGTGCTGAGCAAATAATCCGAGAAGCTGGATTATATGAAGAAGAACATGGCATCAGGATTGGAGAAAGACTCATTAACAACCTTTAGTATGCAGATGACACAACTTTGCCTGCAGAAAATGAGGATGACTTGAAGCACTTGCTGATGAAGATTAAAGACCACAATCTGAAGTATGGATTATACCTCAATATAAAGAAAACAAAAATCCTCACAACTGGTCCAATAAACAGCTTCATGGTGGATGGAGAAATGATTGAAGTTGTCAAGGATTTCATATTACTTGGTTCTACAATCAACACCAATGAAAGCAGCAGCCAAGACATCAACTGATGTATTGCATCAGGCAAATCTGCTGCAAAAGACCTCTTTCAAGTACTGAAGAGCAAAGAGGTCTCCTTGAAGACTAAGGTGCACCTAACCCAAGCCATGGTATTTTCAGTTGCCTCTTATGCATCTGAGAGCTGGACAATGAATAAGGGAAGATCGAAGAAGAGTTGATGCTTTTGAGTTGTGGTGTTGGAGAAGAATGCTAAGCATACCATGGTCTGCTAAAAGGACTAACAAATGTGTCCTGGAGGAAGTGCAGCCGTAATGCTCCTTGGAAGCAAGAATGGCCAGACTTTGTCTCATCTACTTTGGTCATGTTGTCTGAAGGAACCATTCCCTGGAGAAGGCTATCATGCTTGGTAAAGTGGAGGGTCAATGAAGAAGGGGAAGGCCCTCAACAAGATGGGTAGACACAGTGGCTGCAACCATGGGCACAGGTATAGCAGGGATCATGAGGCTGGCAAAAGACTGGGCAGTGTTTCATTCTGCATAGGGTTGCTATGAGTCAGAGATGACTCAATGGCACATAACAACAATAACAACAATGCCCTAGAATATCAATTTTCAGGTGTTCCATTTTATACCTAGTTGAATACAAAGTCATCCCCAAAATAGTGTTAAATTATGTATAATTACATTTTTTTTAATCTAATTTTTCAGGTTTTTCTTGCTGGAAGGAACCATGAGTTGGCATTTTCCGCTCTTCCTCTTGGCCACAGTGACTTCACCCTCAGTCTGCTCCAAGTTCAGTCCACTGTCTCTTGAGGAGCTTGGCTCTGACATTGGAATCCAGGTTTTCAATGAGATCATCAAGTCCCAGCCTCAGGAGAATGTTGTCGTTTCCCCCCATGGAATTGCATCCGCCCTGGGGATGCTTCAGCTGGGGGCCGATGGCAGGACAAAGAAGCAGCTCACCATGATGATGCGATATAACGTGAATGGTATGTGTACTCTTGTGTCACTGGCTGGAGGCTTCACCACGTGGTCTTAGACTCCAGCCTGAGCAGCCCAGCAGTCTGGGAGGGCGTTTACTGAAACCACCCGGGGTTTAGGGCCAAGCTTTTCTGTTCTGTAGGACAGATACTGAGGTAATAGAAGTGAGGAGAACTGCATTCTCATCTCTGTGATAGATCTGTGCATCTTTGGGTCATTCACTTGGTCTCTCAAAGTTCCATTTTTCTATCTGTATGAAGAAAATACTTTGTCTGACCCAGCTCCATGGGTGTACTGGCTTAAAATGCATTACGGTTGTGAACGTTGTCTTAATTAGGGTTCCCGAGAAAAACAGAACCAGTCAGACATACATACATATGCAGGGTGGGTAGGGGAGTGGAAGGAGATAGAGAGAGAGAGAGATTTACTTCTAGGGACTGGCTCATGCAGTTGTGAGTGCTAGCAAGTCCAGAATCCATAGGTCAGGTAGCAGGCTGGAGCCTTTTGGGGCTTTCCTCCAGAGATCCATAGGTTAGGCGACAGGAAGAGTACAGAGAGGGAAGAGAGAGAGAGATACCTGTTTATAGTCTGTACAGTACTTATAATCTGGTTCTATGGTTACTGTAAACTTGTTGTCATCAATTCAATTCCAACTCCTACAGACTCTATAGGACAGAGTAGCGCTGTCCCATTGGGTTTCCAAGGCTGTAAATCTTTTTGGAAGCAGCTTGCTATATCTTTCTCCTGTGGACCAGCTCGTGGGTTTGAAGCACCGACCTTGCAATTAGCAGCCACACGTTTAGCTACTGCACTGCCAGGGCTCCTTACAGTTATTGTAAGATGTTGCCATTGAGTGAGGCTGGAGGAAGAGAGCTTGGGACCTCCTTGTCCTTTATTTATTTATATATTATCAACTTCCTGTGAATCTATAATTAGGTCAAAATTAAAAGTTTAAAAAAATCTAAGGTCCAGTGGAAAAGTTTGAGTCTTACTGACAGAGAAGCCTGTTTTTCTTTAGCTTTGTAAAATGAAAAGCTCAGATTTGCTAGCACCGTTGTTTTGCTTTTGCTCAGTTTTCTTTACCCAGGGTCACCTTCCACTTGCCTTTCCCACAGGCGCATTTTGGATGGGACTGGAAGCATGACCTGGCTCCTTTGCCACCAATATGCACTGTGACTGACCCTGGGGATCTTAGTCTGGGTTCTCCAGAGCTGCAAACCAAGGCAAACCATTGCCTTCGAGTTAATTCTGACTCCTAGTGACCCTATGGGATAGGATAGTCCTGCTGCATAGGGTTTCCAAGACTGTAATCTTTACGGAAGCAGACTGCCTCATCTTTCTCCTGTGAAGCGGCTGGTGGGTCCAAACCACCAACCTTTCAGCTAGCAGCCAAGTGCTTAATCACTGTGTCACCAGGGCTCCTACAACCAGTTCAGTGTTGCCAAACCACTGAGAATCATACTCTAGCCAAGTTGACACATAGCATTAACATCACACTGGGCAAGTCACTTTTCACATCTCGGCCGTACTCTTTTGGAGAGAAGAGGGAGTTTACCTACCCATGTTCTTCCAGCCCTCCTAGACAGAGTTCTGAGGATCTTTGGATCAGTGTGATAGCTGCATTGATGTGTTTGGCGGGAAGAGAGGTAGAGATGTGTGTACTTAAATATATCACCTTTTAGTGTCTTCAGCGTAACTGCCTAACTGCCCTGTGCTGTCTAGGCAACACTAAGCTTTTGCATGAGTTTGCAGTTTATTCATCTGTTGGCAGAATATAGGGACTAAATATTTGGAGCACACTGTTCGGCCCCTTGCTTGGAAGTTCAGAAAACACTTGGTGGTTTATAACTGCTCAAATTTATGGTCTTTCCTACTGCGATCCAGGCCCCATCCGCTGATACAATTCCAAAACAGCAACTGGATTTTTGTTGTTTGTTCTATTGCTGAGCCACATGAATTTTAAGTCTGAATTTCTAAAGTTTTGGCAGTATCGGCCTGTTGGCAACTCTTCCCTTTCTTTCTCCAGAATAGTACAAGTATATTGTAAAATTTAACATCAGTTTATGGAACAGACTCACCTAAAATGAGCCCAGGGTGTTTTTCAGGCCTGGTGTGGGCCCAGTCCCTGAGAAGGCAAAATAAGGATGCTCGTGGTGAGGAAGAAGGGAAGCTTGTGGGGGTCAGTGCAAGGAGGTCTGCCCTGATGTTTTCTCTGCAGAACTCTGTGTGTATGTAGGTGGCAGTGTGGCTAAAAGGACCCTGATTTGAAAGTGTCTTTTAGCCTCCAACAGCTGCAGTCCCCATCTTTCCATGTAAAATGGGGTTGCTGATGCAGTGGGTTTGAACGGCCAGCCTTCTGGTGAGCAGTCAGTTGCTGTGGCTACCCCCCCGAGCAAATGTGAAAGTAAAGAACAAAGCCCTGTACTGTGCCCAGATCCACAGTTTGTGCTTGGTGGTCCTGACCTACCCAGCAGCACCGCAGAAGGAAGGCCTGGTGATCTGCTTCCATAAAGATTATAGCCGATATCATGGCTGAACATTTGGATCAAAGATGCTATAAAAGTGTCCTGATCAAAAGGAGGAAAATGTAGAACAGATTTTGAAATTTTCATGGACTCCAGACTTTCAGGAGTCCTGGAGAGTGGGTGAATCCCTGAAATTACTACCCTGAGATAATCCTTAAACCTTAAACCAAAAATATCCCCTAAAGCCATCTTAAAAATAAACAGTAGTTGAACTTACTAGTAAAGAGTGCCTGCCTTGCGGTTTGTTCTCTTCCCAAAACTTACGTATATGGAATCAAAGTGAGGCAACAACTTGGAAGATAGATAGGAGCCTTAGGGGTAGCAAGTTGCGTAGCAAGTTTACGTTAGTGAGGAGGAACAACAGAACAGAAGAGGGAGAGAAGGATTGCACAACTCGAAGAATGGAATCAGCGTCACTGAATTGTAGCTGCAGAAATCATTGAGTTACTGTATGTTTTGCTATGTATGTTCTCAAAGGGGGAAAAAAAAAAAAAAAGATAGCCAAGACAGCCTTAGGGAGCTCAGCTGTGCAGCGTGTCAGGAGTTGCCGCCATGAGGCAGTCCACTCGCCAGTGACAGGTGTCTCGGGTTCTACCGTCTCCTCTCGTGGACCATGGGAGAGTGTTCCCTGCCCTTGTTGAAGCCTTATGAACAAGGTACAGAGTTTAGAGTGAAAGGTAGGATCTTCAGGAAACTGCCGGGATGACTCTGGAAGGACTATTTAGGGACAATGTCACTTTGAAAAGACCTCAAGAGATTAAGAAGGAATTTGAACTCTAGAAACACAATTCATTTTTACAATTTATTTTCCCCTTCCCCCTCCCCCCCCAAAACGAAATGGAGCATATATGACTGGCTTGTGTAAAATGAAGTTTATAATTGCCATAGAATTAATCTCCTTGCTTTTCTGAGCTTGATATCAAGTAAAAATCACATTGTTCTGGATGGTGACACATAGCAGTTTTTTTAATAGTCTTCCTAATGCTTGGTTCATTCTTTTTCTCCTCCCCCCCCCCCCAAAGTAGAAGAGATCTCGTTGTTAAGTCTTTGGCAGAAAAGGAAATCGTGCTTAAGATTGGAGAGGAAGTGAGAGAGGGAGGGAGGGAGAGAAGGAGGGAGGGGAGGAACTGGGGACAGAAGGGTTGGGGGAGTCCACTGATGATTGGCCCAGGATGGCATGACTGAAGAGCACACTAGCTTTCATATTGACCTGCTGCTCAGAGGGACCTCCCCGAGAATGAGCTAGACTGGCAAAATGTTGAGAATGCCTTGAAAATGTTGCTAGTTACAAATTCCTTATGATTCTGTCCATAAAAAAACTCACTTCTGTGGAGTCAGATGGACTCATAGCTACTCCCCCTTGGGTTTCCGAGATGGTATCTCTAGGGAAGTAGATTGCCCAGTCTTCCTTCCAAGGAGTGGCTGGTGGGTTTGAACTGCCAGGCTTCTGGTTAGCAGTCAAATGCCTTAGGCACTATACTACCAGAGCTCCTGATTCTGTCGTTACTAGCAAGTTATTTTTGAGAGCTATTTAAAATTACAGATACCTTATTTTAACCTCTGCTTCCCCTCCTTTTCTGAGAAAAGGCCACTGAGAAAGCAAAGACTTAGTCTCTTCTTATTCAAACTTACCTTGTTTATGCTCTTATTTGCTGGAATGTAAAAGATCTTAAGGTCCCTGGATTGCGCAAATGGATTGCGCTTAACTACTAACAAAAGTTGGCTGTTTGAACCCACCTAGTGGTCCCATGAAAGAAAGTCCTGGCAGTCCGCTTCTGTAAAGACTACAGCCAAGAAAACTCGGTAGGACCTGGAGCCCCGTGGTTCAGAAGCGTTTCCATGAGAGATTTGGTTTGTTGTTGTTGCTGTCGTTTTTCTTATGAAAGATTTTAAAGAAAAAAAACTTGTATATTCTGCTGGTCATATGGCTGCATTTTCTCATTTGTCCTTTAGGAGTCGGCAAAGTGTTAAAGAAGATCAACAAGGCCATCGTCTCCAAGAAGAATAAAGATATTGTGACCGTGGCTAATGCAGTGTTTGTTAAGAATGGCTTTAAGATGGAAGCGCCCTTTGTGACGAGGAACAGAGATGTGTTTCAGTGTAAAGTCCGGAATGTGAGCTTTGAGGACCCAGCCTCTGCCTGTGACTCCATCAACCTGTGGGTGAAAAATGAGACCAGGGGTGAGTGGCCACAGGCCCCTGGGAAACGTTCTCTATGATTTTATACTTTGTGAATGAAGTGCACCTTAGACTCCGAGGTTCAATCTGGTGTCCAGAAGTCCAGTGGCCCCTCCATGGAGAAGGGCCTGGGCTCCAGCGAGCTCTGTTCTGTCCTTTCTTTCCTAGCAGGCTCAGGCCTCAGTCTCCCTTCCTTGCCCCCTTTAATGCTCCCAGTGCACACTGTGCCCTTGGGAATTTCTCTCCCCATGGTCCTCCCAGCATAGCAGAGTACATACTTCCTTCTTTCCCTGCTGCATCCTGTCCTCAGTGTCCTTGGCTGGTCTTTGTTGATGATTTCATGGCTTGTCCCTTTCTGCTTTTACATCTGCTGTTCCCCTTGCATGGAATGCCCTTATCTTCCGTTATGATTGAGGCTCAACTTCTCTCACCTTCCCTGTCTCTAGCATCTGCTGTCTCCAAGATGCAGCCGCTTTGAGGATCCAGCCTCTGCCTGTGACTCTGTTAGGCAATACAATTATGCCTTTTAACCACCTCATTATAGCTCTTCTGCACCACATAGTGGTTACTTGTTTATTCGCATTTTTCCTCCTATTAAACAGGGAATGGGTAATGTCCTTGTTTCAAATCTGTAGGCTTGTAAACTAGAGACCTAGGTAAAAACAGGAAGAGGCAGGACTAGAATGGCAGAGGACAGTGAGGGATAGAAAGACAGATTTCAGAATATATTTTCATAGAAGGGAGCATTGAAGTAACAAAAGGTGATGCCCAGAAACCTAAATAAGGAGAAGAAACCCAAAGAAAATTTGGGAAACCCACCTTCCTGGCTTCTCCAATGTGCTTCCTGGCGCTCCTGCATCAGAATTACCTGGGCGTGTGTTTAGAATGCAGGTCCCCATATCCTGAGGGAGGAGCCTAGGAAGCTGCGTGAAACCAGATCCTGCCCACGTGCCCCTCCACCACCCATCACTGTCCTTCTGTATGTAAATACTGGAGAACCACTAGAGGAACTAGTGAGAGACGGACGGAGAATTCTCGGGGTCAGGGGAGAGCATAGCCCACTGACGGGATAGGTTGTCCTATATGGTCTTGTTTGGAACAATCAGGAGAAACTAGGCAACATGCAGCTGGAAGGATGGCATGGAAATTCAGGAGGGGATTTGAGGTTCTGGGCCATGGATATGAACACCATGATGTATGTCCAAGTGACGGTTGGAGCCATTGGGTCTGTAGACACTGTTCCTCTCATTTTTGCTGTGGCCACGTGGTGCATCTATAAAGTAGAGATGTGTTTTGAGTCTGACATTTACAAAACTACCAACCCATGTTTACTACACTAAGTCTTAGTTTAAAGCTCAGAGCAGCACCTGATTACTTAAGGGAACATCCCCCCAAGCTGGAAAAGTGGAGGGGTTTGACATAAGAGAAACTAGAAGTACATGGAGGAAAGCAAAAACCAACATTTGGAAGGAAATGCCCATGGTGATGGCTTTTCTGACTTGTTTATGATTTCCTTCCAAGTATAGCCTAAAACAGCAGTCCTCACAACTGGAACAGTATGCAACATCACAATAAATGGAGAAAAGATTGAAGTTGTCAAGGATTTCATTTACTTGGATCCACAGCCAGCCCTGTGGAAGCATCAGTCAAGAAATCAAGTGATATATTGTATTGAGCAAACTTGCCACAACCCTCTAAAGTGTTAAAAAGCAAAAGATGTCACTTTTTGGACTAAGGTGCGCCTGACCTCAGCCATGGTATTTTCATTCAATTCATAAGCATACAAAAGCTGGACAATGAATAAGGAAGACTGTAGAAGAATTGATATCTCTGAATTAGAGTGTTGGCAGAAAAATATTGAATATACCATGGACTGCCAGAAGAACGAACAAACCTCTCTTAGAAGAAGTACAGCCAGAATGCTCCTTGGAAGCGAGAGTGGCAAGACTTCATCTCACCTATTTTGGACATGTTATCAGGAGGGACTGGTCCTTGGAGAGAGACATGCTTGGTAGAGGGTAAGCAGAAAAGAAGACGACCCTAAATGAGATGGACCAAAAAAGTGACTGCAACAGTGGGATCAAACCTGGCGACGGTTGTGAGGATGGCACAGGCCCAGGCAGTGTTTCATCCTGTTGTACGTAGGGTTGTCTTGAGTCAGAACCATCTTTATAGCACCTAACAACAACATGGCCTAAACTAGAGATATTTTTTTTAACTGTTGTGGAAACATTGTTCAAGAGGTGGAGACATTTGAAACAGATTTATGGTCCTCCGTATTGATGCTTAGGAGCTCTGGTAGCATAGTGCCTAAGGCACTTGACTGCTAACCAGAAGGCTGGCAGTTCAGACCCACCAGCCACTCCTCGGAAGGAAGGTTGGGCAATCTACTTCTGTAGTGATACTGTTTCAGAAACCCAAGGAGGGGTTGCTGTGAGTCGGGTCTGACTCGACGGCACATGACAACAACAACAATATTGATGCTTCTCAGTCTATGTTGATAACACCTTTATTTCTTCTCTTATTTGATTGAGAGATTAAAGCTGGCATCGGTAGACCCTGGCATCCCTTCTCAGCAGAGGTGCTTCCTGAAACCTCAAGTTGATCAGGAGTGTTGCAAATGTGAGAGGTTTCAGTGGTTCTCCCGGGCGGCTGGAGGCCATAGGCCTGAGGCCCATGGTTGGAAGAAGGTGGCACTCAGACTGTGGCTGTCACCGCTGCTCAGCTGCCTCCCTTATCTGTGGTTGTTGTGTTTGCTGCTGTTGAGTCAATCCCAACAAACGACAACCCATGTGTGTCAGTGTAGAGCTGAGCTCCATAGGGTTATCAAATGGGTTATTTTCAGAAGTAGAGCACCAGTGCCTCTGGGTTGACTCGAACCTTCAGACTTCCATTTAACAGCCTAACAATCAACCATTCTCACCACTGAGGGACTCCTCTTCCCCTGTAGAATGGCAATGTGTTTAATCAAGGTAGCAAGGTAGCCTGATAGTTTTCAGACACTTGGACATTCGCATACTACATCTCTGGGAAAAAGAGTGATTAGTGCAAGCAGTGCTTCTCAACCCTGTCAGACCCAAGGCCATCCTTTTTTAAAACAAATGCTTGTAATATTCCCTTTACTATCCTGAAATGAAACTCATAGATCATGTAACCTATGCACACATACACAAGTGCTTTTAAAATTTAATACCGTGTCCAGATGGTTGTATAAAGAAAATAATGTGTACATGCAGTTCAGCAGGTAAATCTCAGGAGCTCTAGTGGCGTAGTGCCTAAGGCATTTGCTAACCAGAAGGCTGGTGGTTCAAACCCACCAGCCACTCCTCGGAAGGAAGACTGGGCAGTCTACTTTCCTAGTGATACCACCTCGGAAACCCAAGGAGAGGTCGCTATGAGTCAGATTTGACTTGACGGCAGCAAGTTTGGTTTTTTTGGTTTTGAGGTAAATCCTCACAGTTAAAGGCTCACTTGCTGACTGAAAGGTTGGAGACTGGAGTCTACGCAGAGGAACCTAGGAAGGAAGGCCTGGCAGTCTCCTTTAGACACACCAGCCATTGGACACTGTGGAGCACCCATCTGTTCCGACGCACCTGGGATCACTAAGAGCTGGAGTCCACTCGAGCCACCTGGTTTGGTTTTTACTTATTGCTTGCCAGGTGTTCATTCTGTGTCCTGACCTAAGGTGGCATTGGTGCCCTCCAGTGTACGTAACAAGCAGCATGTTTATCGAGACTTACGTAAAGGTTCATTGTACATCAGAATCTTCTTGTGCTTTCATCAGAAGGACCTGAAGCTTTGCTAATTCCCTGCTGAATGAGACATTCTTTCTTCTTCAGGAACAGTTAGTTTTGTTCTCGCCATTTAAAGTATAATCATTGTTGGATGCCATCGAGTCAGTTCTTTCTGATAATGACCTTATGAACGACAACGCAACACTGCCTCGTCCGGCACCATCCGTCCTCACGGTTGTTGCCATATTTGAGACCGTTGTTGCCACCACTTTGTCAATCCATCTCACTCAGAGTCTTCCTCTTTTTTGCTTCTGTGCCAAGCATAATGCCCTTCTCCAAGGACCGGTCCCTCCTGATAACATGTCTAAAGTATGTAAGATGCAGTCTTGCCATCTTCCTTGTAAGGAGCATTCTGGCTGTACTTCTTCCAGGACAGATTTGGTCACTCTTCTGGCAGTTCATGATATGTTCAATGTTGTTCATCAACACCATCATTCAGAGGCATCCGTTCTTCAGTCGTCTTTATTCATTGTCCAGCTTTAGTACATGTATCAGGTGACTGAAAATACCATAGCTTGGGTCAGGCACACCTTGGTCCTCAAAGTGACATCTTTGCTTTTTAACACTTTTAAAGTACAATAATCTGCACTGATATCATTTACTACCTTTTTTTAATGTACTTGGACTAAAACCTACACTGAATTAGCTTTAAGTAGCAGTGATCTCCATTTTTTGGGGAAAAAAACAAAACAGCTGAATCTTCAGAGACCAAGCAACCTGCTGCCCTCAAGTTGACCCACAAAGCAGCAGATGGGTTCAAACCACCCACCTTTCAGTTAGCAGCTAAGAGCTTAACCACTGTGCTGCCAGGGCTCCTTAAGGGTCAAGCAAAAAGAACTTACATACAAACCAGTGCTTCAGCCAGAGATAGCTCTTCTGGAAAAATCTTTGCAGCCTCACACGAGCTTCCTTAAACTAGATGGACCATCCTGACAGCCTTTTCCTTCAAAATTAGGTGTTCTTCTAGGAGAGACCCCCTTTCTTATTATCTCTGCAATATTAGCACCTTGCTGTATGCCGGGCCCAGAAATTTAGGCAGTGAGTTTTAGTTTCAGTTCTGTATTTCTGAGGCCTGTGGTAATCAGAGATTCCAAACTCATCCTCAGCATTTTGAAATAGTCAGGGAAATTGAGCATTTAAGATAGATGGGCATATGCGGTGAACATTTATATCAAGTATACTCCCTAGAGCGATCAATCAATCAATCGTGGAAGAACAGAATGGCAATGTTTGCACAGGGAGATAGCTCAGGGGACAGGAGTGGACGGGAGGCAAGGACGCAGGGAAGAGGTAACTACAGGGAGGAAGTGGGAAGAGAGCTGTTACATTGTGGGGAAGTACAGTCAATGTCATGAAACAAAATGTATATGAACTGCTGTATGGAAAATGAATTTTCTCTGTAAACTTTCACCCAAATCACAATAAAAATTTTAAAATGAAAATGAGAGATGAAAAACAGAAGAAATTGAGCATTTGCCCTTGATAATACTGTATGAGGCAAGGGAAGATTCCAACTCGGGTAATTACAAACAAAACCAAACCAAAACTTCTCTTGTGCTGACCAAGAACACTCACAGGCAGTTATACATGCCAATTATTATCAAAAATAAGAAAAGTAATTATTAATTAAAGCATTCAGCTGCTAACCAGAGGTCTGGTTTGAATCCACCAGCCATTCTTCACGAGAAAGATGAAGCAGTGTACTTCCATAAGGATGTACAGCTTTGGAGACCCTGTGGGGTAGTTCTACAGTGTCCTGAAAGGTTGCTATTAGTCAGATTTGATTAGATAGTAGTGGGTTTGGTGGTTTTTTGTTTTATCGCTTATTTCAGTGAACACAATTTTCTGAAACGTGGGGCTTGTTGAAAATTAGCTATAAAAGAATTGCTCACTGAGAAGTTTAGGAACCCCAGACTGTGATCACGAAAGTGTTTTTCAGATCTCTGGTTTTTAACCTCTTGTCAGTTGTATTTTTTAGCAGGGTAAAAAAAAAAAAAAAAAGTGGTAAAAACTCCTTAGAACTATCAGCCATGGGAGATCAGAAGGGCAGCATTTGCACAGGGAGACAGCTCAGAGCACAGGTGTGCATAGGAAAGGAGGACACAGAGGAAAGGTAACCACAGGGAGGAAGTAGGAAGACAGCTGTTATAAATTATGGGGATTGCAGTTAGTGCCATGAAACAAAATGTGCATGAACTGTTGAATGAAAATTTTTCACCCAAATCACAAAAAAATATGAAACTTTTTTTTTTAAAGGCTTCTTTTTAAGGATTTCTCATACCCCTCCCTTTGGGTTTTCATTTTATGAGACTAGCAGGTGCCTTTGGCTTTCAAATCGGCTGCCAGTCCTGAGGTTCCTTCCTTCTTTATTCTTGACTTCACAGGTATGATTGACAATCTCCTCTCGCCCGATCTCATCAGTAACGAGCTCACCAGGCTAGTCCTTGTCAATGCTGTGTATTTTAAGGGTTTGTGGAAATCACGGTTTCAACCTGAGAACACAAAGAAACGGACATTTGTAGCCGCTGATGGGAAGTCCTACCCAGTGCCGATGCTGGCCCAACTTTCCGTGTTCCGGTGTGGTAAGTCCATGCAAGGGGAGGCCCAATTTAGAACGTGCTGGTGCCAGAAAGACCTCTGAGCGTTTTACCTGAGCTCCAGGAGGAAAGGTTTAAAAAATAAAATGCAGGGAAGAGGGAAAAGTGGGATTTAAAAAAAAAAAAAAAAATGCTTATGGTAAGTGTTGTATTATATACAGAAGTTATATATTAATAATTAATACATATAGGCTTTTAGGTTGAAAATTTAAAGATGAAAAGGACAATTCACAAAATAATATAAATGGACATTAAACCTAAGAATGCACTTTCACCTCATCATTAGCCATCTTACATGACCAAATTAAAAATGAAGGCAAACGTAATTTCTTCTCACTTACCAGATTAGCAAAAATTACAAACATTGACAAAACTCAGTCAGTCTTGTGCTGTGTAAGCGGGCACCACTGAGATCTGCTGGTAACTGGGAGTGTTGGTCCAACTGATGTCCTTGGAGTTCGTGACCTGGTGGGCCACTCAGAGGAGTTCATCCTAGGATGATGACACACTAGCAAGTAAATGGAGCCCCGGTGACAAAATGCGTATGTGCTCAGCTTCGCTGCTAACCAAAGATTGGCAGTTCGAACTCACTCAGCAGCTTCACAGTAGGAAACCTTGGTAGTCAGCTCCTATAAAGATTATAGCCTAGAACCTCTATGGGCAGATCTTCCCTGACACAGGGGGTCACTAGGAGTTGAAATGGACTTGACAGCACCTAACAACAACGGTGCTCCATGGGGTGTGAGTAGCTGACTTTCCAGAACTAGTTTGTCAGGCCTTTCTTCCATGTATGTAGTGGAACACACATGATGGTTAGACTTAAGATTTACTTAGGTAGAAAGAGAACATGCATTGCATGGTTGATTTTAGCAAGCAAGTTAGAGAAGGTCCAATGCCAATTCATCTTGATGTAAAGTGCTGTCTATTCAGATGTCTATAGAGATGTGCTCAGAGAATGTTCAGCAGAAGGTTGACAGTGGTAGGATTTCAAGTAAGTTATTATTTTTCTTTATTTGAATTTGATTTGTATGTGTGTTTAATTAGCACATTCCAGTTTTATAATCAGGAAAAAAAATGAACAATCTCTACTATAGATAATTCAGTGTGATGATTGTTTTGTAAATCTCACTTCATTGAAGTACTCTTGATTCACTTTAATCTTTTTCTCACTCTGTAAATTAGTCTTCTGTCTCCCATGTATATCTCAGTATGTGGGTTATAAATAATACCTTTGTAAATTAAGTATGAAGGAGCCCTGGTGGCACAGTGGTTAAGAGGTCAGCAGTTCAACCCACCAGCTGCTCTGTGGGAGGAAAATGTGGTAGTGTGCTTAAAGATTACAGCCTTCAACCCCAAGACTGCTCCCTACGACATCCTTCTAACCTGGAACTGAAGCCACTCCTGGAGGTCACTTTTCAGCCAAATAATAGACTGGCCTCTATGATAAACATTAACGCGGTCAGGAACGTGCTCCTCAGGCCTATCAGTATGCAACCAAAGGGCAACATCTGCCCAAAAGCAA